CGGCCATGGGCGCGGCCATGGGCACCACCAGGGGCGCGGCGGGGCCAGGTGCGCGGCCACGGGCGGGCGGCCGTGGGCGCGACCATGAGCACGGCCAGGGGCGCGCCGGCCAGGCACCCCAGGGAGGCGCGGCTAGGGGCGCGACGACGGGCGCGCGGCCAGGGCGGCAAGGCCAGGCATGCCGCCACGGGCGGGCGGCCATGGGCACGGCCAGGGGCGTGGCGGCCAGGCACGCCAGGGGGGTCGACGAGGGGTGCGCCATGGATGTGCTCGCCGTGCTGGGCTTCGAAGGAAGGACTGGATTGCTTTTTTTAAAAAAAACCAGGGACCCGATTGCTTTTTTAGTCCACTTATGTGTGGGCCAACTCTGTCAGAAACGCGCTTAAAAGAGCCAAATCGGGCTCTTTTCAGACTTGGTAGTTTTTTGCCACGGTTTAGAAAAAAAGCGGTAGTTTTTCGCACAAAATCGTAAAGTGGTAGTTTTTCGTCACGGTTCCGTGAATTGTGGTAGTTTTTGGTTAAATACTCGTTGAGGACTCGTTTCGATAATAATATGTTTGTGGTGGTGACAAATGTAAAACCAACCATTACAGCGACATGACCTGCATGCGTTCCATGTTTTGCAGTTGCACAGTTCAGCTTCACCCAACCTGCAGGAGATGGATCGGTTAACAAGGTTCCGTCTTCAGGTAAGCCCGCCTGCATGAGGCACGTCTAATTAAGCTGAAATCCTGGCAATTAACTTGGCCGCTACGTCCTCTTTCCTTGTCCCAGGCACAGAGAATGCAACGCAGCAAGAAGCAGTTGGCGTAGCCAGGTTAAAAGCCGCGCATGGTATGCCACAAAGCTCTCATTATTTAACCTAGCTAGAGAAGCTTCATTTCTCTAATGAGATCATCGGTTGGCGTTAACAACAATATGTGCCATGTGGTCGAACCTTCATCGAATTCAGATCCGGTCGTCGGAGCGCCACCTCCCACCGCATTAAGTAACGAGACGGCCGCCGGCGGCGCCGATGCCAACGGAGGTAATTAATCGACTCTCCCTGCAGAACGGAGGTTGAAGTTAGACTAGCTTGTTCGGGAGTCAGGTTTGGCTCATGTGCAGTGCACGCGCCTGCTACGCACACTATACTACGTACAAGCTATAGCTAAGGAGCCAGCGGATCGGATCTACCACCAAAAACAAATACACAAAAAAAAAATACAGAACAGAATCAGTAGAATCCACATCTGGGGTTTTGTGCACATGTCAACCATGTTACGCTCGACCATTTCTTCTTGGTGCGGTTTTACTAGCATTTACAGCATTCCTTATGTTTTGAGGTACGGTGTGTAGTGTAGTAATTTGTTGATATTGATCAAATGTAATTTGTTGCAGATCTCAAAAATCAAACGGAGTTGCTTGCCATGAACGGTGAGAGAGACGGTTTTGGGGTAAATTCAGGTAACAAACCACTGCCTATTCAAGCACGATTGGCATTCACGATTTGGTTGGGGCAGGCACTCTGGCAGACAACGAAAGAGAAGTTTCAAATTAATTGTGTGCATGCATGCTACGCAGATGTGGCAGCGCCAAGAAGCAGGTTGAGTTGCAACTTCAGCTTTTATCGCATGAACATCTGCGCCATGGAAGGCGATGTCCGTACGCACGGCAAGGCCGGCACCGTCTACGTGGTCTCGGCGTCCGACGACAGCTACCGGCCGGAGAACGGGACGGTCACGATCCGCCCGTACCCGCGCAAGTGGGAGAAGCCGACGATGCAGCTGGCCCGAGAGGTGACCATCCGCTCGAGCGGCCCGGGTGCCGCGGACACGGCCCCGCCACGGTGCACGGTGACGCACGACGTCCCCGCGGTGGTCTTCTCCACCGGCGGCTACAGCAGCAACTTCTTCCACGCCGTGACGGACATCGTCATCCCTCTCTACAACACGGCGCGGGAGTACGACGGCCGCGTCCAGCTCGTGGTCACCGACTACAGCCGCAAGTGGATAGCCAAGTACCGGCACGTCCTCGCCACGCTCTCCGCATACCCGGTCATCGACTTCGACGCCGACGACGACGTGCGCTGCTTCCCGAAGGTGCACGTCGGCATCGAGAGCCACAAGGAGCTAGGGATCAACCCCGTCCTCTCCCACAGGGGCTACACGCTGATGGACTTCCGGGACTTCCTGCGGTCGGCCTACTCGCTGAAGCGCGCGTGGTCGACGCCCGTCAACCGGACCTCCGGCGGCAGGCCTCGCCTCGTCATGCTGCTGCGGCGCCACTCGAGGGCGCTCACGAACGAGGCGGAGGCCGTCGCGGCCGCCGCGGAGGTCGGCTTCGAGGTGGTGGCGGCGGGGCCGGAGGCCGTGCGCGACATGGCCCACTTCGCGGAGGTGGTGAACTCGTGCGACGTGATGGTGGGCGTGCACGGCGCCGGGCTCACCAACATGGTCTTCCTCCCGCACAACGGCACGGCGATGCAGATCATCCCGTGGGGCGAGATGAAGTGGCCGTGCTGGAGCATCTTCGGCGAGACGGTGCCCGACATGGGGCTCCGGTACGTCGAGTACGAGGCCACCGCCGAGGAGACGACGCTCAAGGACGTGTACCCGAGGGACCACCCCGTCTTCACCAACCCCGTCTCCATACACAAGCAGGGATTCGACCAGCTGTGGAAGATCTTCCTCGATGGCCAGAACGTCACCCTTGACATCAATCGCTTCCGAGGGTTCATGCAGCAAATCTACCAGGACGTCACCGTTACATAGATGTAGAGAGTACGTACACGTACGTCCGCTGCCCCTGAAGTTATGCACATCACTGTAATTTTTGCTCTTTGTTGCTTCGTTTCTACTCCCTTCGCCTCAAAATGTAAGATCACTTTTTACACCATATGATGTCAAAAATGATCTTACATTTTGAGACGGAGGGAGTACTACTTTTTAACCGATCATTATGAATAGTCACACAAAATGGCAATTAATTAGATGAGAAAAAATGGCAAAGGCTTGTGTGAGGGATTGCAGGTCTTCTTAATCGTCTATTCGGCACAAGAAAAAGCCTTTTTCTTGTGCCGATTCTTCTTGTATCAAAATAAGAATCCTTTTTCTTCCTAATTCATCAAAGATTACTATTTCTTCTTTATTCGGGTCTGTCTCTTGGACCTCTTTTTCTTTTGCTTAGGTTTAGCCGAGGTAGTGGACAAACATAGGGGAAGAAAATATGGCAGGGGAAAAATTTCTTCTGATTGTGAGCAAATTGCTTGGCTTGTTTAATTAAGTTCAACTTCAAATTTACAGAAATTTTGCAAAAAAAAAAGTAAACTCTTCCATTGAAGGTTTTTTTTTTATTTTTAGGCTAGTTGAATAGTTTTGATTAAGGTTTTATTAGTTTATTACTCGAAACTAAATCAAGGATTTTCAGGATACACAAGGGCTATTTTGGTAGTAACTGAGATGGTAGACTCACGGACAGGTTCTACGGGTTCTTCCATTGTAGTTACGTGTCAGTTTTTTTATTGGAGACTAGGGTGGAAGGACTCCATCCCGTGAAATCGAGGGAGGGGGGTAATTTTTTGTGAGTGGAAAGCCATAATGACTAGCTTTATTAATACTTAAATTGTTAGAATTATGTCGAATATTATTGTACAAGGTAGGTTACAGTTGGACTTGGTTTTGGACTGTGTGTAGACAGGGTAGGAGTTGTGTCCTAATAGGACACTTGTATCCTAGGCCTCTCATATATAACGAGGGTAGACACACGATGTAACCTATACCAACATAATAGCACAGGCACGCGGGGGAGCAGGCGGCGTGTGCCGGCGCCCGGGCGGCCGGGGTGCGGTATTCTGACGGTGTCATGGGGAGGAGCGCCCGTAGTCATGCCCCGGGAATATAGTCATATCGGTGAACCTCGTTAACAAATCTCGGTGTCGTGCTTGTGTGATTGCTTGATACTCGGTAGGAAGACGAAGCGCCTCGGTTTTATTCTAACAAGTGGTATCGTGAGCAAGGTTGCAAGGTCTGAAGGTTGCAGATCGTTGATTTAGAGGAGAGCAACAAAGACCGACGGCTGTGGAGGTACGGCCGTGCAGCAGCGATCGGAGATCGACGCGTATAAAGCAATCGGAATCAGAGAAGCAGTTCACGGTAGAGTCGGCGAGATTAGAAGTTGCAAAAGATCGGAAGTGCGTGCGGCGGTAGCTGTGTTCGAGGTGGCAGGATCCGAGCGGAACACGTACAGCCAGCGGCAGCAGGGAGGCGGCTCGCGAGGCTCGACACACGCGTGGCCGGCGAGCTAGCGTGCTTTCGACGCCGATCGCTCGTTGGAGGCTGGGGCTGGGCTAGATGCAGCAGCAGGCCCATGGCACTCAGATGGCCCAGGCGCAGCAAGCTAGACACGCAGGAGGTCGATGAGGGAGCAACTTTGGTCGCTACAGGTCTACAGAAGGAGCTTCGGTGCATGCAGGTGACAGGAGATTTGTTAAAAGGAAAAGAGCAATCAAAAGTCAAGGGCAGGATCCAGGACACGTTGTGTATTTGGTGCTGTTTGTGCTAGTCAAAAGTACATGGAGTGCATGCATCAGGAAGATACGTGATGTGTAAGAGGAGGACTAGTGTTGGCTGTTGGATTGCGATTATATTCTCGTGGTTCTAGACAATTACAAGGAATATCAAGGTGTCATGGGCAGCAGGGATGGTTCCTGTATAGTTTAGATGGTGTTGGCATGATTAGCTTGCTCAGGGGACTACGACAATCGGCAGAGTTAGGTTTGCAAGTGTTGTCAGGGCCGTAGAGCATGGACGACGTGGACAAACAAATACAGAGTCGTGCGAGTCCTGATGGTTTTAGCGAGAGAAGCCATTAGGTGAGCAGCGGGTGATCGGAGAGCCACACGGCAGGAGGACAACTAGTGGGGCGTGGCCGGACTAATGGCTTTTGGTCAGTTAGAACGTCCTATGACAGAGACGATAGTAAATTGGCGACGTGCGTATAAGGCTTGTGGAGTCTGGAGCGCGTCGTGAGGGATCATGCAGACACAGGGCGTCAAGCAATGCACTGAGACGTGCGGGCGGACAAGATGCGGGGTGGAGCACGATTGCAGTCGGATAACTTCGGCTGGGTCGGATTAGACTGTCTGACGGATCGACGGGGATGTCGTCCAAAGCAGAAGACAGCGGTGATTTCAGCGACGACGACATAGGAGCGTGATGCTGATGGTGGCTGACTTCTGTGGCATGGAAACACGTGGTGCGGGCCCGAGGTCTTGTGCGGCTTCGACAAGACTATGGCGCAGGGTTGATTCAAGGCAGTGCACACATGAGAGAGCTTGAAGTCGACGGGGCGCGAGGGTGGACTGATCATCTACCATGGAGTCATGTTGAAGGTGGAGCTGGAGTCTGATGGACGACTTCACTCTGAGCTGATGGAGGGGCTACGGCGTAAGAATTCGGAGAGTCGAAGCCTATTTCGGCAGGATAGCGAGAGACACGTGGATCGGACTGGGTACCAGTGGTCTGATGGAGACGTGATACTCGGCATCGGTCGGTGATGATCGGTGGTTCTCTGCAGTAGGGGTTTGAGTGGTGTGGGTTCACGGCCCGGGAGACTCGACCTGGACAGCAGAGGCTTGACGCGGTGATAGCGGCAAGGCGTGCGGTAAGCACAGGACACAATGACAGGCCAGGGCACCGGTGGTCAGATATGTTGTTAGACAAAGTGTGCAGGGGGTGCTGAAGCAGTGTTGACGAGTACCGGATTCAAGTTGGTGATTGGGTCTATCGGTGTCGGAAGATGGACAGGAGTTGACCATGGAGAATCTGAGAAAGTGGCGGAGGGTCTGAAATTGTCAAAAGCTGAGAGAGTATATGGCCGTATATTCTGTGGTGTTCAGTGCACATGGCAAAGTGCGGATGACAAGGCAGAAGGAGGCAGAGTGCTATAGCTATGGGACATGTCAGAGACTATCCGGGACAAAAAGGATGAGACAACTGTGAATTTGACTCAAAGTGACACAGAGCGATGGTGAAATTCCTTTAAGTTTCAAACAGACGGTCATAAAAGAGCGGTGATGTTGAGTTCAGGTAACTCTTATATGTGACACCCAATATGTGAGTGTTCATTTTTCACGCAGATTAATGATCGGTGTGTGATGGCGTTGAGCGGATACTCCGGAAGTTGGGAGCACAAAGTAGAGTAACGAGGAACTTAATTTTTGCTCGAGTGTTGACTGTGATGAAGATGAGAAGGGACTACAGTTGCAGGTGGAGTCACATGGAGTCTGGGAGTAGCAGCGGTGTTCATGGTGTATCTCAAGTCCAATGTACATGGAGGTTCGACGCACGGACGAATTCAAGGTGGTGAAGAATATTCGCCAAGGTGGAGTTTGTTAGAATTATGTCGAACATTATTGTACAAGGTAGGTTACAGTTAGATTTGGTTTTGGACTGTGTGTAGACAGGGTAGGAGTTGTGTCCTAATAGGACACTTGTATCCTAGGCCTCTCATATATAATGAGGGTAGACACACGATGTAACCTATGCCAACATAATAGCACAGGCACGCGGGGGAGCCGGCGGCGTGTGCCGGCGCCCGGGCGGCCGGGGTGCGGTATTGTGACGGTGTCATGGGGAGGAGCGCCCGTAGTCATGCCCCGGGGATGTAGCCATATCGGTGAACCTCGTTAACAAATCTCGGTGTCGTGCTTGTGTGATTGCTTGATCCTCGGTAGAAAGACGAAGCGCCTCGGTTTTATTCTAACATAAATCACTGCTACATCATCTGTTAAGAAATTAACGATAAAGTCTCGGGTTACTCAAACCAAAATAAGGTCGGGTTTTCGCAACACCATTCGGCTAGCACATACGCTACTACATTCGACTCCCTATTGCAATAATCAATGTAGGTCTCCTCGAACTCGCACAAATTGCGACGACAATCATCTAATATAGGGGCTGCCACCTATCCATCATCCCGATTAAGAGTTTGAATCACTATGGTATTGTCCATTCGAACTAAAAGATTGTTGCACCCCATCCGAGTAGCAAGCTTCAACCGTTCATACAAAGTTGCGGCCTCGGCTGAAACAACATCAGGAACATGAGATAAATTTGCGGTTGTTGCTGCTAAGAAAGTCCGTGTTGATCATGAATCGCTGTGCCACAAGGTCCTGAAAATTTGTATCTGAAAAGGAAGTGTGCTCACCATCGGTAAGTCTAGGATTATTGTTTGGTTACCGAGAAACCAGCAAAAATGGCAACAATTTGACCATCTACGTAAATTTCTCTGCCTTTCGATGAAGCTTGATCTATGTTTAACCATCCTCGAGCATTCTTGTGCCTTCTTTCTGATGAAGCTTCATCCTATGTCTTAGGGCGAGGGCGAGAATAACCCCTCGGCTACAAACTAGAGCTTTAATTGTCTCCCCTTGAGTTTATTCAAGTGAGAGTGAATGAGTTATGACAAACGACTCTCTCATGGGGGGCTTTATATAGGCTCGAGGTATGCTACTCGTGTCTCGTGTCTCTAGATGACAAGGTGATTAGGGTTTCCATGTCTTCTCGGCGCCGCCGCCGACCTGTCTCATCTCTGGTGGCCTTAGGAACATGAAGGCATGGTGGACACCGTCCCTTGCTGGTGGGAGGGCTCTTGCTCTACTTTTAGTTATAATTTTCAATTCAGTTAGGGTTTGTGTTTCGCTCAGGGAGGCGAGGTGGCAGTGGCTTCTTGATGGCGAACAAAGTTTGTAGTGCATTTCCCAAGAAGATGA